AGCTGTGAATTAGAATAGAGTATTTATTGACATTTGCAAAGAAACACGACAGCAAAGATTCAATGTTTTGTGATTTAGAAAGATAGGAAAAGAACGAGGGGGGTGAAAGAGAAATACTGAAGGATTAAAGAAAATATATGGGAACAATTGTGTTATAGTGAGCAAAATACAATGATGGGGCCATCAGCTTCATGCTGGGCGATAGAGGGACGTATGAACTTCATAAAACAGATGCAGTGATGAGGACAGAACATACATTTTAAGAAACATTTCAAGACACCAGTCAGAAGGTCAAGCATGGAGTTAACTTTGTGCCGAAACGTTTCATATCTATCCAAAAAAGGCTGCAGACTGAAAAGCATTCGGACAATTTGTTTTAGAAGCTTAAGGAAAAGTGACAGCGAGCGTTTCGACCTCGAGTTTGAAAATAAATTATCTCAATTGCACTTCTGGCTTTTCTGGCTGAACAAAAACAAGAAACATATGAAGAGTAAATGGCTGTTTTCACATCAGCTCTTCCTTCCACTCTAGTGAGGCAGTCTGTTTTTTGGCTGCAGAGCCGCTGGTGTTGCTCAGTCCTTTCATTTCCCACTGGACCTGAAGGCGATGCTGCGGTCCCCACTGAGGGCAAAAGGAGCAGCGGCACGAAATGTGATGGTTTACGATGCCAGCAGAGGGATAAAGAAGTAGCGCTGGTGGTGGGAGCTCCCAGGGCTTACTGTGTTGTTGGGAGTTGGGGAAACAAGCAGGCGGCTTGGTTGGCGCAGCATGAGAACCATGTATGATTGAAGGAAGAGTCAGTGGAGGGTAGTGTTGGAACGGTATGTGGGGGAGCTGGGGTTTGGTAAAGGCGGGCACCATGTTAGAAGATGGAGAAACGTGAGCCATCAGTAACGTCCCCAGAGGGTTGATGAGGGGGTGAGGCCACGGTATGGAATGCTTCTGACGTTTATCCTTCATCCGCCTGTTTTGGAACCACACCTGCAGACAGCGAGAGCGGAAAAAAACAACAAACAAGGTTAAGTCACTGAAAAAAGGGGTGTGGATGAACAGAAAACAGAACGCTAAAGTGGGCGACAGCAGAGTTTCAGCTCAACCGAAGGTTTGTCGGTTCAAACCCCAGCTCTGGCTTTATAGGTCCTTGTTTCCTTGGTAGGGATGCACCGATCCACTTTTTTCACCTCCGATACGATACCGATATTTGATGTTTATTGTCGGCCGATACCGATCCGATACCGATACCAAAAAAGCACTGACTTATTACCTAAAAAATGGTTTTATTGTGTGAAAAAAAAAAAAAACTGGGATCATTGTTCTGTGCATATAATTTGACTTCCCTTTTCTTAAAAAAAAAGGAAACAACCCAAATATAAAAGTGATGACTAAAAGTTCTCTGACTTGATCAACATTTTAAAAAAAGTGTCATTATCAAGTATCCTCTCTGATTTTTTTGGCCTCTATACTGTTACATGGAAAAATTTCACTTAGCTGCTTCCTTTTTGTTTGCCGAGTCCGATAATCTCAGCATGTTCCTTGTTATGAAACTTCTGGAGGTGTTTCAATAAGATGGTGGTGTTATAGTTTGAAGATATAACACCGCCCCTCGGGACGTTTCTCCCACCAATATTGCACGTAGCCGTTGGGCTAGTAGGATGAGAGAGCGAGAAAAACCTCCAGACCGCAGATTGTTACGCTCCCTCCATCATAAACAATATGGCCGTGTTGTGTTGTTGTGCTGCCGCATGACGGCAGAGCATAGCATAGAGTTAGAATGAATAGATATGCCCCTATATCGAGTAAATTGCCACTGATACCGATCAATTTTTTTCCCCTTATATCTGGACCGATACCGATAAAAATATTGGATCGGTGCATCCCTAGTCCTTAGGCAAGTCAGCGACCCCCAGGGCATCTCTGGCTACAATACAGCAGCTGTGGCTACGATGCAGCAGCTGTGGCTACGATGCAGGTTCTGTGGCTACGATGCAGCAGCTGTGGCTACAATAAAGCAGCTCTGGCTACGATACAGCACCTGTGGCTACGATGCAGGTTCTGTGGCTACGATGCAGCAGCTGTGGCTACGATACAGCACCTGTGGCTACGATGCAGGTTCTGTGGCTACGATGCTGCACCTGTGGCTACGATACAGCACCTGTGGCTACGATGCAGGTTCTGTGGCTACGATGCTGCACCTG